AAAAGATAAATGCACCTTACGAAACAAGAAGTTTGTTAATAAAACGTAACAGTTACGTAGCTTGAACGTCGGTTGCAATAGATATCAACACTTTGTTACGTAGCATCTACGTTACACCTGTTTCATAGATGTAACATACTAAATACAATGAAAAGAAAGCCATTAATTTTATTAGACCTTTATTTGTACAAATCTTTTTTTTTTGACGGTTCATAGTTTTTATTCATTTGAATATTAATTTAATTTTTATCTCGATAATTATTTTTGTTAATTGTTATGAATATTAATCTATACAGTATAGATTAAGGCAAAATTCGTAATCGATTTAAAATTTAAAACATGGTTAGAATTACAAAGTGCGTCATTCTTCTCAGTAAATATAAATAAATAGTACATATATGTGTTACCAGAGAGAAAGATTATGCGGAATATAAATTCCATGTAAATTTAATCTAAAAAGATTTAGATAAAGAAATAGAATTCCGCAAAATTAAACATGATGCAATGTCTGAACGTGTTTGAAACGGAAATTAAAAAGTACAATACATATATGCATATAATGTAATCTTTTTAGATTAAAAATTAATAAATGAGATATATGTATAATTAATTGTCATTCTCAAAATAATTAAATTTTCTAATAATGTTTGTGCGATATAAATTATAAAATTTTGTAGAAAATTTTATCTAAACTCTAGTTTTTTTGCTTTTAAAGTGATTAATATAATTAGATAATTTAGTATTTATGTAGTTTTTGATTAATTGATATTTTATAAAATTTAATTAACATTTTTTATGCCAAAAAATCCAACTTGTTAATTTTACGTTTTCTCAGCATAAAATTTCAAGTCAATATTCAAATAATAAATACTATGAGTTTGGTACAAAATTTGATCGATTTCAAAAATTTAAGAGTCATTCGATGAAATTTTGATGAGGAGCAGCCTTGATTATATTTGCGATACGAGCGGCCAAGCCGTTTCTTTGGAATTAGCAGAAAAGTGCAAAATTTTTCGTCTACGATTTAGCCAAAAATCCTGAGACGACTTTAGAAATCAGACCTGCCTTCGCTAAAAACTAATCAGCACGTCTCCTTATCAATACGAATCGAATGTTTTTCGATTTATTCAAATCGGTTGATCGGTGTTCCTGAAATCGTCGACGAAAAATTGTATCCGCACACACATACACAAAGTATAAAATCAGTGCAAGAATGATAACATTCTAGATCCTCCTCCCACGAAGTAATGCCTAACGGTGGTTTCCGTGGGAACCTGAGGCAAGGGAAAAGCGGAGGTTTTGGTCGGTATTATACCCAGGCGGTATCGAGTCCGACATACCCAGACAAAAGACCTAGTCTGGGATGCATAAAGGCATTTCCTTCGTCATTCAAAAAAATACTTTACCCAAAGCCTTGCGTTCCTTGAAAAGAAGAAGAGGGAATGACACCAATTAGGGCGAAAGTATAATTACGAGTTGGAATCATAGAATTCTAGAGCCTCCCTCCATGAGGAGATGCAAGATATAAGAGTCCAACATATCCAGACAAAAGACCTAGTCTGTGATGCTTAAATGCATTTCCTTCGCTATGCAAAAAAACACACACGCACATACACACACATGCATCAATTTGAAATGCAAAATTTGAATGAATGATATTTAACTTCCCGTAGGGCAATAAGTTATAGTAATCGCAAAAAATCGGAAATGAAAACTTTTTAAATATGTTTACGTTTCAGAGGTTTCTGAACGTTTTGGCATACCTTAGAAAAAATGGATGTGTGTGTGTGTATGTGTGTGTGCGTGTGTGTATGTGTGTTCGGATAAAAATTTTCGTTGATGATTTCGGGAACACGGGTTAACCGATTTGAATAATTCAAAAACCATTCGATTCGCATCGTTAAGGAGACGTGCTGATTAGTTTTTGACAAAGGCAGATCTAGCCGTTGCAAAGATATGGAGCAAAAAGTGCCAAAAACGGTAACTCAATTTTTAAGAGAACGAAGCGTCCGATTTGAATGATTCAAAAAAGATTTGACAAGGTGAAGAACTGATTAAATTTTTAGGAGGACAGGTCTAGCGATTTCGGAGATTTTATAAAAAAGTAAAAAAATGCCATTTTGAGGTCAAAAATGATCATTAGGCATATGCACATCAAATTATCAGATATTTTATAGGGATTTTAATAATGTGTATCAATTTCGTTTACATTTCTATGGGTTTCGTACCAATGTTTATCCGTTAGACGCCGACGCGGCGCTTACGCGCTTCGATATTTGGTCTCTATGCAGCTAAAGCAGCGCGATTGCTTTGAAAAAAAGTTCAAGATGTCCAAAATATTTCAAAATATAAAAAAACTCATTATTTTTCATTAAGTCTTTCATTCAAAAAAGTCAATTTTTTAAAAAGAATTTATATTTTGCAAAGTTTTCAAAAAAAAATTTTAATTTTTCTTCAAAAATTTAATTTTCCGTACGGGAAGTTCCAGCAATTTGCCTTAAGGCACGATGCCATACACCATGCACTAGTTAATTTAAATGATAATTGTGAGTACATTTTTAGCACAGTTAGAAATTTAAGGGGGTCCCATGGCAAGGCAAAAGTATTCTACGACACAGAAAAGTTTGGGAACGTATGGTTTAAAGTTAGTTTTAATTCCACGCATTGCGAAAATTTGAGAAGCATTCTTTGAAAATATAGATAAAAATATTAAGTGGTCAAATTACTTGCATACAGATTTGGTGAAAAGAAGAATATATTGAATAAAAATTTGAAATATCTACTTCATTCATCCGAATCGAATTTCGCGCTCCGTATGATCTAATTGTAAGATCATTCACTCATTAACATACATATGTGTAAATACATATTCGTGTGATAAAATGCACATGCGCCGTTCTGCAAACAAAAAAAGACTCCCGCATCGAGCTCTTTCCTTCCTTCCCATTCATTCACGTGTCACTCTCTCACAAAGTAAAGACTACACCAAGTAAAAAATCCTTTTACAAAGCACCCCGATGGCCGCGAAAGTCTTAAAATTCGAAGCCCCCAGTTCGGCAAGTTCGGACAGGTAAATTGATTGATGATATAAAAAAATAACACAACAATTACAATCATAACGGCTTTTGCGTAGATTAACAAACCATTAACTCCATTACTACCATGTGTGTGTGTTTTTTATTACGATTCGTGTTCCCGTGTTCGTGTTTCTCGCCGTCGGCCATTATTCGATGATGTGCTGTTTGAGTGATACATAGTGGTTAGTTTTGTAAAGGATTTTTCTTGTTATTTTTCAAACAAGAACTGTTGAATTTGTGTTGGAAAAGTGTTGAAACATGTTGAAGATGTGTCGGATAATCAAGTATGTAGATTTGTTCTATTTTTTGTGGAAGTTTTTGCATGTTTGTTCGGCGTGTGCGACGTACATAACCTAAAAGTTTGACGTATGTTTTTGAGATATTTTGTGTTAGGATTGAATAGAAATGGAATTGTGGGCAGGAATATGGTGTAGTTTTATGTGTTTAGTATATTTTATAACTTTGGACTTGATTTAGGGGTGAACTTTTGTTTTGCACGTCATCTAAGTGCCGGTTTTGTTTTTACATAAATTTCTTTTTAATTCGAATATAATTAAGTCCTTGTGCAATGTCTTGAAGTTTGCAAGAAGCCTTCAGATTTTGTGTCTTAATTTCTGAGGCCCCCTTGATTTTTAATTAGACCAAACGAGCCTTTATTTGTAATAAATGTTATTTATTCATTTATCTATTATATGATTTTATATAATAAAATTATTTATATCTCCTCCATGTAAATAAAATTATTCACATTACAATCCTTGTGCAATGTCTTGAAGTTCTTGAAGATGTCTTCAGGTTTTTGTATTTGTTTGTGGGGCCCCCTTGATTTATTAACTGGATCAAAAGAGCTCAATTTCATATAAGTTAATTACTAATAATTAATTTATCTACTTGATGAATTTATATAATAAAATTATTTACATCTTATTTTTCATTATAAATTTAAGTCCTTGTGCAATGTCTTGAAGTTTGCAAAATGTCTTCAAATTTTTGAATTTGTTTTTGGAGCCTCCCTTAATTTGTAAATTGGACCCAAAGAGCTTCCATTTCATACAGCATAATTTAAAAAATATTTATTAATTTATCCACTTTATGTCTTTATATATAATAAAGACCTTATCACCTCATTTTTTAACAAAATTTAAGTATTTCTCAATGTCTTGAAGTTTGCAAGATGTCTTCGGGTTTTTGTATTTGCTTTTACGGCCTTTTTGATTTAATAACTGGACCAAAAGAGCCTTCATTTCGTACAATATAATTACTAGTAATTAATTTAGTCAGTTTATGACTTTATATAATAAAATCCTTATCACTTCATTGTTTATAATAAGAATTAAGTTCTTGTGCAATGTCTTGAAGTTTGCAAAAAGTCTTCGGGTTTTTTGTACTTGTTTTTGGGGCCCCCTTGATTTATTAACTGGATCAAAAGTGCCTTTATTTCGTACAATTTAATTACTAATAATTAATTTTAAAAAATTTTAGTTCTTGTGCAATGTCATGAGTTTGCAAAATGTCTTCAGGTTTTTGTATTTGTTTTTGGGGCCCCCTTATTTTTTAGTTATACCAAACGAGCCTTTATTTGTAATAAATATTATTTATTCATTTATCCACTTGATGACTTTATATAATAAAATTATTTACATCTTATTTTTTATAAAAAAATTAAGTCCTTGTGCAATGTCTTGAAGTTTGCAGAAGCCCTGAGGTTTTTTGAATTTACTGTTTAAAGCCTTTATATTTCTTACAATTTAATTTAAGAAATATTTATTCATTTATCCACTTTATGACTTTATATAATAAAATCTTTATTAGTTTTTATAACTACTTTTTATAAAAAAAATAAGTCCTTGTGCAATATTGTGAATTTTGCAAAAAACCTTCAAGTTTCTTGTATTTATTATTTCAAAGGAATTTGTATTGAAATGTCCTTTAAATTCACTATAAATTTCCTTTAAATTTTGTTAAATTTGCAATTTAATTTCATAAAGGTTTAATTTTATATTTATTAATTCACCCTCTTTATGGCTTTCAAGTTTAAAATATTTATTTTTGACGCATAGAAGATATTTGGTGGCTTAAACTATTTTAGAAAATTTTAGTATATCCTTTAACAAATTTTTGTCTGGCATTATAAAAATCCAGTTTAGAATTTGAACTGAAATTACACAGTTTTAATTATTTTGTTTTGTACTTTATAACATTGACTAATTTGTAATGCAAAAGTTCATACAAACGTTTAGGTCAAGTGCCATTTTTTAAAACAATTGCACAATAAATACAGAATAACCAGAAAAAAATTACTCATTTTTCTAGTTTTACAAAAAATATAAACATATCATACCTATAAAAGCACTTTTTACAATATAACATATTTTTCATGATTTTAAACGTTAAAAGCCTCTTTTTTTAGGATGTCCAGAGATAAAATAGAGCATAGAAAAGTTAAAAATCCTCATAAATAAATTATACATGAGTATAATAAAATATATAAAGACAATTTAACAAAATATCAATTTTTTTTCAACGGAATAAAAATCTAATATCTTTCATCCAGCATGTATTATAAATGCAGTTTACACATTTTTTATCATTTTATGAACAAATCCACTCCGATATCAACAACTATCACAATTTACGAGTACTCGGACAGAATTTTGTCATATTAGGTCATTAACAAGGCCTTATCTTTATTAATTAGATTATTAGTATTAAAATGTGGGACGATTCGTTATCGTGGATGAAATACGAATTTACGACAAAATTTTAATAGAAATAAACAAATGATGATATTTGAACATATTATGCAATAACATAATAGTATATAAATTAAAAACATGATAATTCATTAACTATTATATGCAATAGTATTATCGTATTTGAAAATTAACGGTTACGAATTGTGTCAAACATCTGTACGAACTTCACACCTTAAGTTAAATTTTTGACCCCTGCTTTTTACTACATTTAATATTTTGAACGTCCATTTTATGTGCCTTTTAACAAAGGTCAAAATCATTCAAAATTAATATTTTTATAAATAATTCTAGTTAAGATTTAATGGAAATATTAGCAAGGATTAACAATTAAATTTAAGTTTTTTTTTTTACAAAAAATCCAAAAAAAATCAACATTTTGAAAAAAGTTCTAAATTATCAAAAATTGTCACAAATTTCTTATAAACATACACAAAGTTCTTTTAGAATACGCCCATTGCCTAATTTAAAAAGCAATTATAAGTTTACAGAATGTATTTATAATAAATAATCTATTTGAAATTTTTCAAAACAATTATTGATTATTTTCATTTCTCGAATGTTTAATTACGGTACGGGAAGTTCCAGCAATTTACCTTAGGGCACGATGCCATACCCCCCACTAGTTTATAAATTTGAATATGAGCCGTTATTAATTGTGTCAACTGCACGAACTTCACACCTTAAGTTAAATTAGCGACATTTTCCTCTTTACTGCATTTAATATTTTGGACGTACATTTTATGTGCGTTTCATACAAGACGATAAATTATTACTATTTGGTAAAATAAAATGCTTGCTTAAAATTACTTAGTTTATTTTAAATGTTACTTGTTTCACGGTCCAGCAGCAAGAGAGTTATTTTACATAGTTTTAACATAAACATAAATATAAGATGGCGGATACCTAGTTATAGTAGGGGAACATTATTGCCAACATCATAATAGTAATGGCGGGACATTTGAATTACAATATATAACATTACACAAAAATGTGTCTAACAATTTTGTCCATTATTATAATAAATAAAATTAATTGATACAAACAATTAACTAATCAATTACATCGATGACGTCTATTGATTTGTTTTCACCAACAATTTCGTATGTCCCATATTTCAATCAGCTGTTCGATTGTTTTGTTTTCGTCGACATCGGATGGTATTGTTATTGTCGTTTCGGGTTCAATACATCTATTCAATATAAAATAGGTTCATGAATAATTAATGTATCCATTACTTTTATTGACCTTCCACTCCTCCATCTCGAATATCGATTACTGTTTACTAATAAACTCTGACTGACTGGACGACGAGACAAGGTCGTCACGGTTAATAATAATAATAATAAATAACAAATCATATGATAAGAACATATTTTGAACTATTTGTTTGATAACTATTTATTAACTTCCCGTAGGGCAAGTTATAGTAATCGCAAAAAAATCGAAAATGAAATTTTTTACCTTAGAAAAAATGGACGTATGTGTGTGTGTGCGGATACAAATATTCGTCGACGATTTCGGGAACACGAATCAACCGATTTGAATAATTCAAAAAACATTCGATTCGTATTGATAAGGAGACGTGCTGATTAGTTTTTAGCGAAGGCAGGTCTAGCCGTTCCGAAGATACTGGCAAAAAGTGCCAAAAATAGTAACTCAGTTTTGAAGAGAACGAAGCGTCCGATTTAAATAATTCAAAAAACATTTTACTTGCATTGACAAGATGAAAAATTTTCATGAAGGCAGGTCTAGCGGTTTCGGAGGTCTAATAAAAAAAGTAAAAAAAATGCCATTCGGCGGTTACAAATGATCATTAGACATATGCACATCAAATCATCAGATATTTTATAGGGATTTTAACAAAAAGTATAATTTTTTTTTACATTTCTATGGGTTCCGTACCAATGCTTATGCGTTAGACGGCGACGCGGCACTTGCGCGCTTTGACATTTCGTCTCTATGCAGTTCAAGCAGTACGATTGCTTTGAAAAAAAGTTCCAAAATATGTCAAAATGAAGAAAACATTTTTCTTTTCAAAAAAATTTTGTTTTCAAAAAAAAAATTTTTTTTAAAAAGTAATTTTTGTCAAATTTATAGTTTCTCAAAAATCTAATTTTTTCGAAGTATAATTTTTTCAAAAATGTTAATCGTTTTTAAAAAAACAATAATTTTTGGTACGGGAAGTTCCAGCAATTTGCGTTAAGGCACGATGCCTTAATTGACTTAAGACAGAATTC